CAGTCAAACAGGTTTGATGGGAAATCCAAGTTCAGTGAGTTGTAAATAAAACCCGGATATTCAGTCACTCATTGGCATATTCTTGTCTTGATGATGTCATCCCAAAAACATCCTTTAGCACACATGACCAATGCCGACATCATCACTCAGACCCCTGAGAACACAAGTAGGGAGTCTGCACCTATATGACTCATGTCCCAGTGTTATTACATGCTGAACTGTCGGGGCGACCGTGGTTCAGTGAATTGGGAAGCTCATTTGTAATTGGAAGGTTGCCGGTTCGATCCCCCCTGCTATCTCTGTCCTGGTCGTTGTGTCCTTGGGCAAGACACTTTACCCTACTACCTACTGGTGTTAGTCAGATGGGACGATATGGCAGCCCCGGTTCTGTCAGTCTGCCCCAGGACAGCTGTGGTTACAACTGTAGCTGCCTCCACCAGTGTGTGAATGTGAGAGTGAATGAATAGTGGCATTGAAAAGTGCTTTCCATCATTAACTTTTTTTCTCTTTAAGCTTCAGTTTAAAAATTAGGTTTAAAGTTTCATATATTTGTTACATACATATACATTTTAATTAGGTTTTAAAGTTGGTAGGACAATAAATACCTCACCCTTCTAGTGACCTGCCCCATGACTGCACACTCAACTGTCCCATTTTTACAGAAGCTAAAGGAACCACAGACACCACAGAAGAAGTGTAAACAGGAAGCTGAGGACAGACCTGCAGACAATCCTGTGGACAGCCTCACTCTTTCAGTCACCGTGGGAACATTTACAGGCAGTCATCAGCTTTCTCCTTTCTTCATTCACTCACATTCATTCACACAGTGATGTCATTGTGGGAGCAAGTGGGGAAGATGTCCTGTTTCCTGTTCCTCCTGAGGAACCAGGATTGACGAGGAACTAAAGAAATCAACCTGCTGCTGGTTTGAGTCTTTGCAGCTTGAACTCTGACAAAGGTCTTCTGCGAGGTGAAGAGTCGTCACTTTCAGGAGCTGCTTCCATCATTTCAAACGGATCAATACTCTGAACTTATGAACACTCGTGTTTGACACAGAGTGTCCTGTGATGGTCCTGTATTCCAGGTGTCTCTTGAGCTCAGGTTCCCTTATTTGTCAGAGTCTTCATTATTTATATTTGTTATTCTCTATTTCGTGTTGTTCATGTTGATTTCTCTCATGTCCAGTCTTTGCCAGCCTCTTCTCTGTGTTTTGTTATTCTGTCAGTCTCCCCGCTCACGTACCTGCGTTTGTCTGTTTTCTCTGTGCTCTGTCTCATTGTGTTTGTAATCCCATCCCTGTATTTTCTCCCTCCATGTTCATCTCTCTGCATTTTTACTCCTTTGTCTCCTCAGTCAGTCATGTCTCAGTGTGTTTATTCTTCTGCGTCTAGTTCACATATATTAGTCCTGGTCTCTGTGGTTGTACTTCCTGTTTTATTTTGATAGTTTTTCATCCTGTGTGTGTTGTGCTCAGTTTTGCTTCCTCTTTCTCTTTAGTAATTAGTTCCAGTTGTGTTCCCAAATTTTGTCCAACCTCTCATTATCCTGTGTGAGTATTTAGGTCCTCAGTCTTCCTCGTGCCTGTTTTGCTGTGTTCTTCTGTGAGTTGTATGTTTCCTTTGTAGTTTCCTGTTTATATTCTTATATTTTTTTGTATTTCTTTCTGAGTATCTTCTAACATTAATAAAGCTGCCCCTTTTAGCTGACCCCTTTGTTTCCAAGTCCTGCATTTGGGTCTTTTTTCTGCCTGCCATACAGCTGTTCATGACAGGCATAGAAAACGATTTTGCGCCTGGAAGTAATAAATGCATGAACTTATTTTTCAGCATCACTCTGAGACAGGATATTTTTAATTTTAGAGATGTTGCTCAAATGGAAGAAAGTAGTCCTACATATTTGTTTAATATGTGCATTAAAGGGCATAACATGGTCAAAAATTACTGGTTTCATCTCAAAGTTATTTACATATGAGCATCACACTTTACCTGAAATACACAAAGAATCACGCAATAATAGAAAACAGTTTCAAACCTGCAGGATTAAACTGATGAAAGTTTGTTTTTACCATGATTTAAATTTGTCTCATAAACGTCCAAAACCTGCTGAAGGTTCAGAACTGAATCTAATGCAGTGAAGTCGAGCATGTAGTGAGACTGAGTCAGTGAAGCTTCAGTTAGAGTCTGTAACATGACGACTGAACATGAAGGCAGACGACCTCTTTTCATCAAACAGGAAACCACAGCTGCTGGTCTGTTATGTAGACGATGTTTCCTCTATTAAGAACTAATTTTCCACTGTGGACAGAGTCAATAATCGTCCTGTGTCTCTCAGAGTTTCATTGTTTTGTTTTCAGATCTAAATGTTGCCATCAGTCACTGTCAGTTTGGGCACCGAACCTTAAACACGCATGTCAAAAATAAATCTACATCAGTAATGCATAAACAGCAAACCAGCAGGATCTCTCTGTGCACTGTGAACACTGACTGAGGCTCATGTGATGCAGTGGGTTCTCTTCTAAATGTGTCTTCTTGTCTGCATGCTGAAGTAGTCTTGGGCAAGATACTGAACCCCAAATTTCTTCTGACGCCTCCATCCAAACATGAGTGTTTGATAAAGGTGCCTAGAAAGCAATGTGTGAATAGCTCCGTCTTGAGTGCTCAGCTGGATTAGAGCTTTTTGGATTGAACCCTCTGATTTAATCTAAAATAATACTCTGTGTTATTTTGTTAGGCCAACATGAAAGACAAATAATTATCTTCAAAAAACTTGTTGGAGAATTAAAATTGTAAGAAATGGAAATCAGATCTCTCAGCTACATCTGTATGAGGTACTACGGGAACGTGTGATTTCAGGCTGTAGATAACGGATTTCTAGCTGGATGAAACCTAAACAAAACCATGTAACTCTACAGACGTGAGGTGGGCTCGTCCAGGATTTGAACCCAGGACCTCTCGCACCCTAAGCAAGAATCATACCCCTAGACCAATGAGCCACATGAACATCGTCACCAACTTCTTTTCTGAAAGTCACACATCAGAGCACGTAGCTGAAGCTGAAAATATGAGACATTGTCTTGAAAGCTGCCAGTCAAAAGTCTGGAAACACATCGCCATGGTTTTTCCACATTGTGGACACAAACAGTTTCAGGACATCAGCTCACAGCAACGGTCATTTTAAAGAACTTGCCTCATTCAACCAGACAAGAACTTTTTCTATGCTTTAGTGCTTTCTAGCTAAGATATGCTAACATTCATTCTTTGCATCAGAGAGAAACTTGGGCTGTCAATCTGCCAACTCATGAGGTAAAGCAGATCATTTCCCAGTTGGAAAATTGATGGGATCATTTCCTTGATGCTCCAGTCTGCATATCCATGGACAAGTCATCTTTTCATTTCAAATCAATTTTATTCATATAGCGACCAATCACAATAACAGTCACCTCAAGGAGCTTTATATTGTAAGGTAGACCCTACAGAGAAAAACCAAACAATCATGTGATCATCTGACCAGACCATATTTCACTGGCTTTGCTAAATGTTGTTCAGCAAACTTGCTCTTCATACCTGCTGATTCCAGGTTTTTCTGTAGCACCTTGGCTCTTCATCAACTCTTCTGATCATTATTATATATGGTGAAATGATGTTCTTTCCACCTCTGGATTAAGAACCCAACAGTGCTCACTAGAACCTTCAGTAGTTTAGAACCAATGCCATCAGTATGTTTTGCAACAACACGGTTGTGAAGGTTTTGAGACAGCTCACTGGTTTTACCCATCATGAGATGTTTCTTTTGTGACACAGATTTTTATAGGTCATCAGTTGGGACTGAACCTGCTAATATTAATTTGTAAGAACTGTCAGGATTGCTTTCAATTACTGATAAATTTCAATTGCCATGAATCATGATTTCCTATGTCTCATTGCACCTTCCCTTTCTTCACATGTTCCTTTTGTTTTTCTCTGTGTTATTTCTCATTATTACACGTTAACCCCTGACCTGAACTTCCAAAGGTGAGTGATAAAACATTAATTGAATTACAATATTATACAAAGAACAGAAGTAAATACAAAATGCAGTTTCTAAATAAATGTGTTTATTATTAAGTGGAAAAAACCCAAACCTAGATGAACATGTCAGAAAAAGCTATTGCCCCCTGAATTTAATAAATAACTGCAACCAAGCATTTGTAACAACCTGCAATAAATCTAAGAACTTTGACTTATTTGTGTTTTGCATAATTCTCCTGCTGCAGAAACCAAGTGCGCTTCAGCTTCAGGTCAGATGAGAACGTACGGCCAGTCACCTCAAGAATTTTTTTTAAGAGGGCCAAATTAATGGTTCAGTTTAGGACAGAAAGTCTTCCAGGTCCTGAGGCAGCAAAACAGCCTCAGACTATCACACTATCACCACCATATTTTACTGTTGGTATGAGGTTCCTTTTCTGAAATGCAGTGTGTAATGACACACTCATCAGTCCAGGGTGTTTTTTCCCAAAAGTCTTGGGGATCATCAAGATGTTTTCTGGCAAAATTGAGACAAGCGTTTATATTCATTTTGTTGAGCAGTGGTTTTCATCTTGGAACTCTGCCATGCAGGCTGGTACCTTTCCCCAGTACCTTTCTTAAAGTGTAGTCATGAAAAAGGGACTTTGATTTTAACTGCAGGACATTTTGAAAACATCAAAGCATCTTTAAAACTTTTTTAAATAGCTTTACCCATTATAACAAATATTTGTTCTCAATGTTTTGCATAGTTGAATAAAAAGGATTTATTTAATAAACCCTTATTGTATTCTATCTCAGTTTGAACTAAAAGCTGATCCTAAACTAAGCACAGATGTCAAACTGATTGATCAGCCATCAGAGGAGTCGGATCAATGGAGCTGCTTCTGTTCCTGATGTCCCCTGTTTGATCCTGGACCTGAACTCTCCCTGCAGAGGAGACACAAGACAGTCAGACAGGAACAAACAACCAGAGACAAACTTATGTTTTATACTGACCTTTGACCTTTAGCAGCACTGTGGTCTCTCTTGAAATGCTTTTTTCTTTGCTGCTGACATTACAGATGTATTCTCCACTGTCTCCATCTGTGGGGTGTTTCAGGGTCAGACTGAGGTCTCCAGTTCTCAGCAGGTCTTCATTCATCTTCGTTCGGTCTTTGTAAACCTGGTGCTGTTTGTCAGGCTGGACAGAGCCGTTCATATACATGTGAACCAACACTGATGGGTCAATGCGTCTCCACACCACTGTAGCATCTTCAGGCAGGTTTTCTGTGGTTATGAAGGGCAGCTGGATAGACTCCGCCCCCTCCTCCACCTCCACCACACAGTCTGAGAGGACAACAAACACAACATGAGCTGTACAGACAGCAGTGAATCTAGAAAACACCTTATTAAGCTTCATTATAGATGCTGCAGTCTGATATTTACATTTAATTATTGTTATTGTTATTTTATAAACAAATACACTGTAACAAATATTTCATAGGTATTTGTACTGACTCATCACTCTCAGCAGAACTGTTTTCTTTCTCTTGATCCTTTTGCTCTCAACTCTGCAGATGTACTTTCCAGTGTCTCTGTCTGTGGGCTGTTTCAGGGTCAGACTGAGGTCTCCAGTTTTAAGTGAGTCGTCTCTCATTTTGTTTCGCTCTCTGTAAAACTGGTCTCCTGCATCAGGCTGGTCACAGCCGGTGTGATATTTGTGAACCGTCATCGGTGGTTCAGGTTCATAGCGCCACCACTCCACTTCAGCATCTTCAGGCAGGTTTTCTGTGGTTGTGAAGGGCAGCTGGACAGACTCCGCCCCCTCCTCCACCTCCACCTGACAGACTGAGAGGACAACAAACACAACATGACACAGCAGCAGTTTTATTCAATGATTCCAAAGAGAACCTTAATATTCAATTTTAGGCTCAAACTATGATTTTTGTCTTTGCTTGTGTTGATTTCCTAAATATGAAACATACTACATTAATTTAATTCAGAATTAATGTATTTTATTGGTTGTTCTTCATTTCTTTTGAATTGTTGCCTTCAGTCCACTTTAGTAGAATTTGAGTGGGACTGCTCACAAAGAAAGAATGAGTCTCTAATTTTTTATGGTAGTTTAATTTTAATAAAGGGAGATAAATTATCACCTCGCCTCTGTCAGTGCGCCCCAGGCCAGCTGTGGCTACACTGTAGCTGCCATCATCAGTGTGTGAATGTGTGTGTGAATGGGTGGATGACTGAATGTAGTGTAAAGCGCTTTGGAGTCTTTAGGGACTAAGTAAAGCGCTATACAAATACAGGCCATTTACCATTTATTAACAAAAAATCCAAAAAAGAAAGATTACATAAAAAGTGTAAATTCATCTGTATATCATTGAATGAAACACATATCTGGACCCTTAAACTTACCCAAAACTACAATCTGTGTATTCATGTAACACACAGATTGCAATCTATTTTGGTAACTAGTTACAAGAAAGTGGAGCATATAATGACAAGATGACAAGTAATGACTTTATTGGATCTTACACCAGTTTGCCTAGAGCACTTTGCTCTCACACTGCAGGCCTACTTGTTGTTCCTAGAGTATTTAAAAGTAGAATGGGAGG